GGCAGGATCCAGACTTCCATGCATCCACCTGGTCATGCTTCTGGTCCCAGTAAGACTCTGAACCCTCCTGGAAGCCTGTGGATGCATGGAAGTCTGGATCCTGCCACCTGTCTCTGTTCCTGCCTGATCTGGATCCTGCCTGTTTCTTTCTGTTCCTGTCTGTTCTGGATCCCTCAGCAGGATCAGCTTCCACCATAACCTCTGGGACTGCAGCACTGGAGACAATCGTGGTCCGGACTGTTAACCAGAGTGCCTGAAATTGGGCGGTTCTGAGCTTATGCTCAGGTTTGTTTCTTATGTTCCCTCATTTTTTAAGAATATTATTTGCGAAATCCTCTCCAGAGGTTCTAGATGAGTTCTTAGAACAGAGCCAGTCTTCTTTATTAGCTTTTTGAGCTTCTTTAAGTCATTCCCTATGATGCTGTTACCTTTTGCTGATGATGGCAGAAGAGATCACTCTTTCCACAACCGACTTATAGGGGATACTACTCATCTTGCTGCACACACTGTGAATGCACTTTCTTAAGAAGTACATTCTGCTCTGTTCCTTCAGCTTCACAGTTGCATCACCAGTCCAGTCTGTTGTTCAGGTGAACACCCTCCTCCTCCACCTACTCCACTTCTTCTCTAATGCTGATAACAGAATTTGACTTTTCCTGTTTCTTCTGAAATCTACAATCATCTCCCTTATTTTGATGGCATTGAGGATCAGATGATTGTTTCCACACAATGCCACAAAGCGGTTCAGTAGCTCTCTGTACTCAGCTTCTTGTCCATCTTTGATGCACTTAATGACTGTAGAGTCAACCGAGTATATGTGCAGATTACAGGACTCTGTCTGGCACTGGAAGTCAGAGGTGTAGAGTAAAAAGGAATGGTGAGAGTATCGTCCCCTGTGGTGCTCCTGTGCCGCTGACTACTTGATTAGAAGGTTGAGCCTTCAGTCTCAAAAACTGTAGTCTGTTTTTTAGAAAATAGATAGAAAATAAATTTGAAGAAAATACAGTATTTTAATATTATTGTCATTTTATGATACTTGACAGTTGAAGCCCTGGATTAGACAGTGGAGCGATAGAGTAGGTGACACACAACACAAGGAGGGTAGACCGCAGTTTGTGGATGGTTGGAAAAAGTGTGATGGTAATAAATGGAGCGAGGCAACTTGTAGAGAGTCTATCAAGGCATGCCATGCATAAGTTACTGCACAAACAGGCATATTACTTTTGTGGATCCTATTTTCATAGGTAAGTAAGTTTTGCATTTCATTTAGAGATCAAGATCCTAGAGGTGTGGCTACAGTTTACATCTACAAAAATACAGATCCCTGCCTTAATTACAATGGTATTGTAATTAATTGGATTTTGACAATTATTTAATTTGATAAGCACCTGCATCAGAATGGCTGAGCAGACCTGCTGAGTCCTGACCCAGCGATAAGGTGGAGCCTTCCTTAGGCTCATAATGGGTATTGAAAACAGAGAGACAGCAGAAAAAAAACAGTGCTAGGGACAAAGTTGAGCAAAATGCCCAGAAAAAGAGAGGTCTTAATGCTAACTAAAATGAATAGGACAAAATCATGCAGGAGAAATCTACTTAAGCTGCAACAAAGTCAATGAGTACACAGGAAAAGGAAAATGGAACAAAAAATGCAAAGTAACTCAAATGTTATGCAAAATAGTTGCTAGTATATACAAACGATAAAAACAGCCTAGTAAAAAGTCTAAAATATTGAATAAAAAAGAAATGCAAAGTATCACTGTGCACAAGATGTGTTACCAGCACAATAAGAGAACAATATATGCCTTAAATGAGCAAATAAAAGTCTCCAATACAAGTAGTAGTAATATAGTTTCCACATCAAGATGGAATCTGATAAAGCAGCAAGCAGAAAACAAACAAAACAAGAGAGATAAAGTTAGATTTCAGAGAAACAGGAACAAGCTAAATCCTATTAGCATAATGGGGAAAGTAGTGGAGGTTGTGGTCGGACCTATTCCTCCATCATCTGCTGGCGTAACAACATCATATGAAATGACTTAAATAAGCTTGGGCCAATTCACAAAAAATGATTCTTCATAGAATGAAGAACATTATAGAAAACAGTGAGCATCCTCTGCAGAAATCTGCTATCACCAACTGGGTCCTCACACTGAGGCTCTCCAGATCTGGTGCATAGAGATAGCCACAGAAGATCCTTCCTAACTACAACTATCATCATATAACAACTTATTGAAAAAAACTGAATGACTTACTTCAACATTTAATTTCCCTTTGGGATTAAAGGTATTTTAAACTGAATTAAGTATAATTATGGAAAGGCAGGAAATCATTTCAAATTAACTGGGCTTGAGGTTTATTACTTACCGTAACTGTTTGTTTTTGAAAGCTGATACCCTTCTTATGTTATTTGTATCTGACTCACTTACAAATATAGAAAAAAATATTAAAATCAACTTCTGCCTCACCATTGTGCTATGTGTCTGAGTGCAGGGTTGTTTTTGACAGCCATCGTAAATTTAGTCTTAATTTTAGTCCTCAGGATGAAAACTATATTTAGTTTTATTTGCATTTTGGTCATAATGATATGTGATAGTTTTAGTCGGTTTCAGTGGATTACAACTCAAAAAGGTTTTATCTAGTGTTAGTCATTTTTATGTTGCACTTCTTAAAACAGTTAACCTTTTCAATTTTTTCAACCAGATTCTTTACAAGACTGACAGCTCTTGCCTAGATACTACAATTGCTTGGTATAGAATGCTGCCAAACAGTTTATCATTGCTGTTAGGCAGAAAAATGTGATTAATAGAATTGAAATAAACATTTTTATGAATTAGTGCCTTACTTTATAAAAAAAGGTGTCTCACAAAAGTTGTGAAAATAGCAGATCTAGTTCAACACATCATATTGCTTAAAATGCAGACAGACGAGCTAACAAAATGTGCAATAAAGGAATGGTTTTAGACAGACAAGGTTTCCATTCAAAAGAAAATACTTCCTGTTCTACTATGAATTATGACTTACACACAGATCAATAAAATCTTCATTGCTCCAAAAAACAAAAAAAAAAACAAAACAAAAAAAAACAAAGAACAAAAACATTATTCTTTCTGCTTTGGCAATTGTGTTTTGATATAAAAAAAATACAGAGAGCACGTACATATTTACCTTGTTATGCCATGGTAATCTGGACCTATTTTTAATAAAAATGTTAACTAAAACATTGAAATATTTCAAATAAAAAAGAAAATGTTTGAATGACAATACAAGGAAACATTTGCATCATATTTGAAAAGATGGAAACAAGAATTATGAGAAGACATATTCAAAGATCTATGCAATGAAATATTTTATTTGGTTATAATTTAGGGATTCCTTTTGCTAGAAATGAAAGAAGGTTTAGCATCACCTTTTGTGAGCTGGAAGAAATAAAATTTTTGAATTTTGTTGACAAGGGATTCTTTACACTTGGCAGAGGATGATCAGCCACATATAATTTATTAAGTAGTAAGGGCAGGAAGAGCCATACAGCTGAGAGTGAACCCTCAGTGTGGAGCATAAAGTACAGATTGGCTTAGGGTGGCCCCACCCCTGGCCCCCCATCTAGTTTCGCCCCTGACTGTTGGGATGTAACAAAATGCCAAAATCTAGGAAACTGAATTCTATATTATCCATTTTTGGCCTTTAAATGATCCTCCCTTTGGTCTGTTGCGTCATGAGGAGGGCGGACATAAGTGGAGCGGTCCATGCGGGCTGTCTCAGGAAGGGTGCTGGAAGGGTGCTGCCCAAAGCGTGCCGAGTTATTGGATACGCGTTGTTGCTAGGGGCGTGGGTTGCGTTGTGCCACTGATTCTTCTCCAAACCCCCAAAGAAAGGAAACGATAAAGGAGGAGGAACCTGGAAACGCAGGGCTGGCATCATCCAGAGATGCGCCGACAGCTGTCTGATCCGACCTATGCCGCAGTGAGCATAATCTGATAAGCGCTTCTGTCCAAACCTGACTCTGCTGCAGGACGGAACTGAGTGAAGACTGAAAGTGAGTGCGCACAGATTTAATGAAAAACGATGCTCAGCAATCACTTGTCGGAGCTGAATCACGCCAGCTGCTGATTCCTCTGAGTCAGGCTGAGGAAAGGGAGGACTGACCGCTGCGCACTTTCTCTGTCCCATGATGAGGAGCGGCTGGTGCGCGGCACAGATTCCCCATCCCGGCCTGTAGGCCGCAGAGGATTTATCTGACCAACACATTTTGGTTTAATGCGATGTGGATGAAACTCATTCAGTAAACTCCGACTGGCGATGACATCAGACTGAAGTGTTGCAGTGGGACGTTACAGGGCAGCGTGGGGTGGCGTATGGAAATGCGTGCGTGCTCAGAGCGCAACGTTTTAAGGGGAACCAGCCACGTCCTAAACATTCATGAAATCCAAGGCATCGGGCCATTCATCCTAAGCTGAGCTGGCGAACTGCGTCATTAGAAGTGCAGGTCGGCTGCAGACTCACCAGCATGCTGCTGCAGCCATCCCTGCACCATGTCGCCGGTAAATGTCTGACATTCTAACAGGGATGAATTCAGCTGACATTTCCGGCAAAGATCCGCCTCTAGGATCCACGTTTTCATCTGCTCCTAACCTGGACTCGGATATTAACGCTAACGCCTGCAGGCATGTGTGTGAGAATGGGATGGACCACAATGTCAACATCCAGAGCGCAGCGCTCCGCGGGGCCAGTGACCCCAGCTCCTACCCATCCACAGAGTACCAGGGGCTGGTGCGCCGCAGGTTTATCCGCCGAAACCTGTGGGTGTCGGACCACGATGAGCACCCCCTGGACACTTCCGAACTCGTCAGCAACAGTCCGGTTCTCAGCATCGACCTGCGGACTATAGTTGACAGGAGTAGGACCCGGGCTCTGCTTCCAGAGACCTCCAGCACAGAAACACAGGTGGGCCTGAAGGACGGCGCTACGGAAAGAGTGAGCGCAGATGAGGAGCGCAGAGACAGAGCTGAGATGGGGCCCAAGGCGGATGTGGGGCCATCGGATGTTACAGGTAAAGCAGGGAGCGATGAGAACGAAGAGGAGCCTGGGATGAAGGCTGTGTCCACCTCACCTGGTGGGCGCTTTCTGAAGTTCGACATTGAGCTGGGCAGAGGGTCCTTCAAGACCGTCTACAAGGGTCTGGACACGGACACCTGGGTGGAGGTGGCCTGGTGTGAACTGCAGGTGGGTTCAGTTAGGTCTCCACTCAAACTCTGGATCACTCAAACACATCTAGCTGATGGCCTCTTTGGAGCAGGGTTTACTTTTTTCAAAAACAGGGTAATTGATAAAGCCTCACTTGGGCTTCAGAAGGGTTAGAATATATTTAAAACATATATTTAAGTTTGCATACTCTTATGCCACTCTAAACTATTATTAGCACATGCTGTAAAAGTTTAGTTTTTCTGAATTAATTGTTTATATATTGTTTTATAACACACTCCCCAACAGTGGCGTGCACAGACATTTTGGGGGCAGGTGCTTAGGTTGGAAAAAGGACACCTTATACATTTCATAGAGTTGCCAACAGCCAAACATGATCTGATGCTGACATTAAACGATCTTCTGCGGTCCATAGATAGCAATGCTACATTGGTGTCAATTAAATAAATTAACAATTTCAAATCCACTAATATATAAATAATGCAAAGCCCAGGATTCCTGAATATCTTTCAGTTTATTGGGTATATATGACAATTTGCAGATGAACTAAGATTTACATTTAAAATATGAAAAAAAAACAGAACTCTATTATCTTAGTGCATAATATTTAGTAATCTTACTTTAAATTAAACAACTCTTATTCCCAGGCATAGCTTCTTATTTTCCGAACATTTTGTTTTCAGAATATTGTACGTGTTTTTTCAGGTCATTTTTTTTGCAATCCAAGATAAACACAGAAATAGAAAATGCACCTTAATCTACACGCCCTACTTTAACTGAATAGAATTGCCAAGTCAGATTTGTATAATT